TGGTTGCAAAAGGAAGACACCCAGCCCAAGTGGTGTCACCTGTATTTAGACATATATATGTCTGGGTCTTAAATTTGGTTTGTTGTTCAGTGCTAAATGGAGCAGTGTTTGGGAAATAGTGACCTGAAAGAGGGCAATGGGCAGCCTGTCAATATCCCAATCCCCTTTCTACCTCCTGGGGTCCATGGCCCACTTGATGAAGATTTGCTCCCCAGTTAACCATAATGTAGAGGGGTAGGGCACACCTTCAAGCCTTCCCCACCCAGTTCCTGGAGCTCAGCATTCATTAGCATCATGCTGTGATGTCCAAGTTAGGACTGGCTCACAGACAAGTGACCCACAATTGAATTTCTTATCCTAGTACCAGTCTGGAGAATAAACACATCCACCAATAGAGAGTATTGTCACAAAATACAAATGAAAAGAGGCCATGTAAATGCTCAACTTCCCTGGCACATTTCAGCCATTAAATATTTGCATGGAAAACATATGTGCGTCCAGGTGGGGATCCTTCAGTCTCCTTGCCCATTAACTTCATGGTGATGGCATAAGAGGCAAGAATAACATGGATCAGGGAAAATAAACTACGATCTCTGTTCTGCCCCAGTAACAGAATGAGCACAAACACCACCCCCACCCCCCACACTGTTTAACTGGAAGAACTGAGCTGGATAACATTGTCCTTGGCATGGTACAGGTCAGTGCCTGAAACAGCCACTCCCATCCTGAGCCGTAAGGGTAGCACTGACAGAGAAAGAAAATTTTGCAAACAGGCTTAAAAACCTCTACACAGCACACCCTTCTGGGGTCGCACGGGGAGGGGTGTAAACGCGAGTTACCTGAGCACACAACGCCTGCGTCTTCTTCATGATTACAGTTATGCTTTCCCCAGGGTCTGGTCCTGCAGGCAGAAAGGTCAGCTTCTGTACCGGTGCAGTTCACGTCATCCAGCCAGATACGACCAGTTCCTTGACCAAAGTGAGCCGAGCCAGGGGCTGACAGTGCTTCTCCACAGTCCAACTGCCTGCATACGACCATGGCATCGGACAGATCCCAGCTATCATCACACACGGTTCCCCACTGCTGTTTCCAAAGCACCTCGAGCCGCCCCGCGCAGCGGCTGGGGCCGCTCACAAGTCTGATGGGAGCTGAGTTGGTAACACCTGAATCCCAAAACAAGCCAAGGTGGAAAATGGGCATAAGCCAGGTTTTGGCTGATAGCGGAGATCGTAACATCTTGCTTTTGCAGGAATAATGCCATTTTGGGCCTGTTTGGGGAAGGATTGCCAAAATGCTCACCACTTTTTTTCCAGCAGGAACATTATAAGAAAAGCTTGCTGGCTAATTAGTGGTGTAAACTTCTTGCTCAAATGGTGTTAGGACCTCTAACACATCTCTGCATCTCCATAAGCAGCTGCAAGATCTTAGTGACCTAGGATCATGGGATTCCTACTAATATGTCCCTCCCAGACACATGACAGATATTCAAAACCTTGGATGAGAACCAATCATTTCCAGCCGTGGAACAGTCCCAACACATATTCTGACATGGTGTGTGACAGCTCCACACCACAGAAACCCTAGACTGTACCCTGCACACAGTCAGGAAGATGAGAGAAAAACCTCAGATTATGGTCTTTAGGAAGACGGCAGTCCCAGAGTAAGCGCCTCCAGACAACCTGAGCTGCTGTAGCACCATGGGTCTCGGATCATCCCTCCCCACCCTCACTGTGCAGCTCCTTGCTCTGTGCACAATACCGTGAACGTTCCTCCTGAGGTCTGCAACTCTTCCTGTGTCGCGCAAGTTATCAAAGGAAGCTTTCAGGTCACTTCTCTGGGTACAAATTAGGATATCCACATCCTTGTCCAAAACGCTTGTCAGAACTTTCCTATCCAGAACTCGCTCCCCTGGTGCCATGTGGAGCACAGTTTGTTCACCTAAATGAAGGTTTCTAGTGCCATTTGTAGACCTGCACCCTCCAGAGCAGTAGCTGGAGTCCGAGATTGAGAAACTAGGGTGACTCAAATGGCTCTAGGCACCTACATTAAGGCAACTGCCTACAGTCCATACAGTAGGATTCACCTCCCAGCTGCTGACAGTTGCAGTGCTAAACAACTGGACTCCCATACAATGCAGAAAAGAAGATATTTCAAGTCAACATCCACCCATAAGGGAGGAAGACTTGAGGTAGGCTCTATGCTGTTGGAAAGCATGGATATTTTTCCAACAAACTTTAAATTCCCAGATCATCCTCCTTGATCATTTGCAGATCTGGCACAGCCTTTACTTCATCCTAGCCCCTGAAACAGCCTCAACTTATACCAGGTTTTGTTAAAAACCAATATCACTGTCTCAGGATAATCCTTATCCAATTCTTTTACCTCTTTTTGGTTTAAATTATTGGATTATGCTGATTTGCAGGGTATAAATGCAGCTGGATTAAGAACTGACTCTGGCAGGGAGGCAACGGAGGTCTGCTGTGCTTATTCACTCTTAGGTCCTGGCTCCAACACAGACTGTGACTCTAGGGTGGAGGAAAAAACCAGAATTACATTCTGGATTACACAGATCAATCAAAGGAAGCTCTGCCTTTATGCTTGCATTTGTTTGTTCCCAGGGTTTGTCTCTGTATATCTGCACTGTTAATGCCTCTAGATCTCTAGGTTTTTCAGAAGCCAAATGATCATCTCTACTACTGTATTCTCTTGTCTCAGAAATGTCAAGCCCTTTTCCAGTGCCAGGAGTTAAAACCCAAGCTTCCTGGATCTTCAGTCCTTTATTCCAGCCATGAAACCCATTTCCTTGCCAAGACTGGGGATATGAGAGGGGTCAATCCACCACGAGTTGTATCTAGAACTTACCAGGCCGTATTTAGAACCCTGTTCTCCGGGAGCAGAGGAGAAAACTTACCCCAAAGACATGCCAAGAGGAAGAGCACAGTTTCCATCCTGGTTCCAGCGAAGGCAGCCAGACTCCCACTGCGAGCATCCCTGGGTGGGAGAAGATTTCCTGGTGGTCCCATGGTAGCAGCAGAGACCTCATATAATCCAGCTCCTGAAGGCCTTGTTGGCAGGGTAGAGCAGGAAGATCGTCCTTGTAGGAAAGACAAAGAGTCAGTGGCTGGCTGGGGAGGCAGGAGAGAAGACAATAAGGACCAAGAGAGGAGGTAGATGACAAATATTCCTTACCCTGACTCCTCCCCTTAATTGGCCTCTCCCCCTTCACCCTCCAGTGCTGGCCCCTTCCCTCCTGTTCCTTGCATCTCCCTATGCTACTTCCCTCCTCCCATGCTCTTCTATTCATCAACACTTTAAGGGAAAATAACCCCTGCTAGAAAGCACTGAATCTTTTCTCCTCTGTTGTTGTTTTGGCAAAAAGCAAACTACTTCTTTCTGGCACTTCTAAAACTGCCATTCTCCTGGCAAGACTAGCTCATGAACAGGCAGTGTCCTAGGAAGACTTCTTGGAGAAAGCAGGAA